TTTTAGTTTTTTTTTCACAAGATGCAGTTTTACAGTCCTAAAAAATCGGAGTAGAAGCAATACACTGTGTATGTCTGAGTGTCAGTCCCCAAGTCTGAGGGCATCTCTGCAGGCTTCCTCAGGGAAACACAGCCCACCTCCAGAGGCCCATATCTGGGGCTAACACAGGGAAGAGATTCAGCAATGTGAAGGGCTCATTTCTCTTCCACCGCCCACAGGGAGTTCATGTGAGTGCTTCAGATTTAAGCTTGCAGATCTTTTAAATCCCAAAACAGGCAGTGAGAGCCATTCTGAACAGTTAAGGATCAACAGTGTATCCCGGGGGGGAAAAAAAAAAAAATCAAGGCTTTAAGATTAAATCTGTGCTGATGTCTGAGTGGCCTTCTTGATTCACCATGTGCTGGCTTGAAAAACACAGATACAAAAATCAGAGAAACACACAAGATAAAAGGGTGAGAGCAGAGTGAGCCTCAGCCAAGTGCTGCACTCAGGGCAAAGGTGGGATCTTGCTCAACAGTGCCAGCAGAATGCCTTCCCCCAGCTGCTGGGGAACCAGGGTAGCCATCTCTAGGTGATTCATGTTCAGGGCACAGACAAGAAAGACAGAAGAGGGAATGAAGACCACTGGCATAAAACTATTCCATGAAACTGTGCCACTAGAAGTAGGCCAAGGCTAGAAGAGATCATGATGCTCTTTGGCCTCTTATCAGATGCAGGTCAACTGCATCATTGGAATCAGAAGTTCACCTTGTGTCAACTCCCAGGCATTTATCCTCCAAATATAACACAAAACCACTCGAAAACATGTGCTGCCTTTGCCACAGCATCCCTACTTGGTCCATTCCTGCCCCCTCTGAGGGTTCACTGCTTGCAAGCATGGCTTAGTGGTCACAGTAGTGTTGGTTTGATGGTTGGACTTGATGATCTTAGAGGTCTTTTCCAACCTTAATGATGCTATTACATGTAGCCCCTCCAACTGCTCTAGCTGTAGATAATCAGACATACAAGTACAAACCTTATGACAGCTCCTTTCCCTGACACTCCCCTCCCAGCCACTCACCTGCATGACGCTGAGCGTCTCCGCCTGCTGCATCTTACTCAGGATAGCCCTGAGGATCTGATCCAGGTTCTCTCCCAGCTCACTTCCTGCTTTTGAAATCAAAGTGGAGACCAGCCTGCCCACGAAGGCCGCGGTGAATTCCGAGGTCCTGGGGTCCAGGAGCTGGCTCACCACCTGCATGACGTACCAGAGCCCGCTGTGCCCCTGCTCGTCGTGCCACTGCGCCACCTGCTCCAGCGCCACCGAGACGTACGCGCGCAGGCACTCGCCCCCGTTCTGGAGAGACAGCAGCAGGTCAGAGCCTCCCCTCCAGCAGAGGGGAGTGGGAAGCATGGCAAGACATCTCCATTCATCACCCCAAACATGAAAGCCATGGGCGAGCTGGTGGCATCCCTGAAAGATCCAAGCTCTCTAACGGGCAGTAAAATGTGTGCCTGAATTCAAACATAATTTCTCCGGACTTCGGTTCATTATCACGGGCCAGACACTTTGCTGCCCAGGCAGCTCTCCAGAAGATCATCTAGTAATTACAAAGACAACCTGGAGTAGCTGCAGCTTTGTGCCACTCGTTAGCCAGAGAAATTCCAAGAGACTCTCAAGTAGGAGATGAAGATGAAGTGCAGTACAAAAAACACAACCCAGCAGCCAAGCTGCAATCTTTTTGAATTCTTCTTAAAACAAAGATCCAGCAAGGCAATCAGCATGCTGGTTTCCAACCTCTTCTTGCTGGTCTCTGACCTCTTCTAAGTGGCATGTTTAGGGAAAGTCATTTCTATGGTCAGTATTCATATGGCAAAGCACAGCTGGCACTACAAAACTTAAGGAATGAAACTGGGTTTATTATTCATATGCCAGCCAGGAGCTGGAAAGAAAAGGCATGCTGCACTTTTAGACTAATGCTTTTTCTTTCTGGCTTAAATACTCTAAAGACATCATCAGGTAATAGCAGAGACTGCCAACAAGCACAGCTTAGGCACTACTGCTGTTTGAGATGAACCCTTGCTCTCCCTCCATCCCATACCTGGCTCAGCCTGCCCTCCTCACCTAAATGAGTACAGGAGAAAACTGCTAGGACTAAAACCAGAAAAAAGATCAAGGCTGCTGCTTTACTCACTCCAGTCCTCCAAATGAAAGAATGACCAGCAGAAGTCATTGCAGGCCCTTGAACAGCAGTTCTTTCATGATAAACTGGAGGCAGCAGAGACTCCTGAGGTGGTGCTGACATAGCTACTGCCAAGCAGAGCCTGGGTGCCCTTAAAGGCTCTGTCAGCTCTCTTACATGGTCACTTCCCTGGGACCTGGCATAGCCCTGCACTCCTGCCCACTCCCCACAGTGTTACCTGCATGGTAGCATTGTCATCTGTGTTCAAGCTGCACTGAGCCACTGCAGGGAAGGCTTGGCAGATGAGGAGCTGGGACAGAGGAGGTTTTGTATTCCTCACCACTGTGGTCAGGATATCAATGGAGGTCTGAAATGGAGACACAAACACAAGCACTGCTACAGCAGCAGCCCCAGTACACCAAGTCAGTGCTGCCCACCACCACTGCAAGCACCATGAACTGGAGGGATGCCAGCCAGTACTGCAATCACATCCCAGCTTCAGAGTGTTTTTAAAACCAGAGGACCTTGGAGCCATGCTGCCAAGCACCTCTGTATTTGAACACATGGTGCATGCTGTAAACGTCCCCAAGGCAGTTCAGATGTTAAAAGCAGCATAACCACTTAAATGTGGCACACAGTTTCATGGCACCCTGATCCATGCTAACCAGTACAGCCAGAGAACTGCTCTAGCTGACTTCTTCCATTTTGTTTATATTGGTTTAAATTTATTTTAATTACCCACAAGTGGCTGTTACAGTCATACCAATGAATATGCAAATTATAAGAATATTGATAAAGATGTTAATGGTTTAACTCTGTACAATTGTTCTATGTAGTCGATGCTTAATCTTTTATAAGGACTTTTTATTAAAAAAAAAATATAATTTATCTCCAGCAATTTATACATATGAGATGCACAAATCTGTAAATGCTTTAGGAAAAAAGTGCAAGTAGCCTGCTGGCTACTTTTTAGAAAAATAGTCATGTAGCCTGCTGGAGAACATTCCACCACAAAGAGGAGGCTGCTGCTGTGAAGGATGGCTATAGCAAAGCCAAATGAGGAGGCTACAAGCACTGCAAGAAGGCAGGAGAAGCAGTTTAAAGTTAACTTTTGGAAGCATCTCCCCCCACCTGCAGTTTGCCTTCTCTCCACAAAGGAGCCTCCACCAACAACTGGAGTCATTGTTCCAAAGCAGTTTAAACACAACCTTCCTACTCCCTGCAGACCAGCCACCCTACATGTTAAAGACCAGGGAACCACCTCCAACTGCACCGTGCACCCCTGTAGCACTTACTGCACACAGCCCTGCTGGGATCTTGTCAGCAGGGGCTTGCATGATGCTGACAAGAGTTGGTATTAGCCTCATCTGCATTGGACCCTGGCAGGCTTCTATCTGAGCTAGCTCCTTAAAGATATCTTGGGCAAGAGAAGCAACAACTGGATCTGGGGAGAGAAAGCACCATTTACTACAACATACTAACAAACATCTCCATTTTTGCTACCACTGTTTTGAACAGGCCAAGCAGCAAGTTTCCCACCTAGCTTTACCATACAGATCAACATGCATTCAATTATGACTTTTACATTTTCAACACCAGGATTCAGTAGCAAAACCAGCTGTCCTCTGGAGCAAGCACACCAAATACACACCGTTGCTGTACTTGAGGAAGATGGCAATGGTGAAGGGGCAGATCTTGCTCTCCACACTGGCTGTGAAGGCTGGGTCCACCGTGCAGACGATGCACAGCGTCTCCAGCACCAGGTTCAGCACCTCTGAGCTGAACTGGGTTGCCAAGTGGATCAGTCCATCCAGAATGCTAGGAAGGAAAGGCTGCAACACGTGGGTGCTCTCTGAGATCTTCAGCTGGTCACAGTAGCTACAGAAGAAATTTGTGATACAAAAAATACATAAATAAAGTGACATATATTTATCTCTAGATATCTAAGGGGTCACTTCACCCCACCCATTCTTATTCCTTCAGTTCACTCTGCTAGGACTTTCCTCCTTCAGTCTGTTCTGTGATCCCTCAACAGCTCAGCTACCCTTCCTTTGTCCCACCCCTGATGGTTCCCAGGAGCAGAGATGAGTCAAGGGATGCTAAAATCTTCTCTTGCCTCTTATTAACAGTTCTCTTAAGAACTGCCTATTGACAAGAGGAAATAAACCTCAAAAAAATTATCCCAAGGCAGACACTCACTGCTCACCAAGTGCTCAGTTACCATGTTCTACAACTGAGACAGAGGATGATAAAACAATTTCAGGAATAACTACACTAAGTCCCTGGCTCTGCTTAGGAACATTTTGAGGCAAATAGAAGATAAGGGTTTTGGGTTTTTTTTGAGGAAGAGTGGGGAAGAGTAGGGCTCTGCAAGGGTTTTTTGTGGTTGGTTGTTTTTTGCTTTTACACTAATGTTCATTTATCACTTTAGAACCAATACAGCAGATCTTCCTTCTACCTTCTTTCAGTTTATTTACAAAAACAGAACAAAACGAAAGAACAACCAAAAACCCACAAAACCCTCCCCCCAAAATTCCTTACTTCTGTGGTTTGCCCCACAAACCTGTTGATGCCATTCAGACACCTGAACAGGAGTCATCTGGGTTTCATCTTTATGCTTTTCATCACTATCTAGTTCTGCTTCATTTTGGGACTGTATCTATTAAAAAAATTTATTGTAGCAAACCTTGAGGTTCAATTTCATACTCCTCATTAGTTATTCTATCTTGAACCTGCTTGCTTACACTTTTTAAACCTGCATCTATTTCACTTAAAGCAAATACTGCCAAGGCCTATACAGAAGTGTCAGTAATATTTCAACACTCTGGCTTTCCAAGTGTAATTTCTAGCACCTATCCCAGGGGCTGTGGAACACCTTAGGGCTACGTACCCCCAGATAGCTCTGACTGCAGAGATTCGGACAGAGGGAGGCTGGGTTTCGTGCAGACCACTGACAGTAGCTTGCAGGAACTGCTGGATTAGCTCTGGAGACATTGCCACTGTAAAACGGCTGGCGGCCCACAGAGCACGGCCCAGGAGAAAAGGGGACACTGCAGCAAAACAAAGAAACCCAGTGGTTTTAGAGTAAGTTTCATGAGTTTAAAATTACAGCTGCTTCCATCCGTTATCCAAAGTCTGGCATCCCAGGAGGAAAACAGGAAGAAGTGACACAGAAGGCAAGTATGCAGGCATACAAATAATTTTTGTTCGTAGGCAGAATCCAGTTTATTTTCTTAGTTATTTCAAAAAATATTTTCTCATTTGTTTAAAAAAACCTGACCATTTCCCCTCAACTGTTTCCACTTGAGTTTGTTCAGCAGTACAGCAACACTTGCTTTCCTGACCAGCAGAAGTGGAGGAAGAGAATGAAGGCTCCTTCAACAACTCCTGTTCATCTAGCTCAATATTCTGTCCCCAACAGCAGCAGCTTAGAGAGAAGAGTTAGAGAAACAGATCTGTTACAGATCACTTTTCTAGTTTCCAGCCATCACCCTGTAATTACAGAAAGTCATGCTCAACAGCACCAGAGAAACAGGGAACACTCAGTCTCCTCTCACCTGTTCACACTTACCAAGGTAGGAAGTATCTTTATGGCACTTAACCCTTCTGCCTTTTGAGGCTAAAGGTATCTTTACCTACTTAGGCTATCCTCAAACAGATGATGCTCTCAATTTCTCAGTATCTCTACTGCTATTATTTAAACTCCTGCAAGTATTAATTTTAAGATGAGGACAAACTCCATGCAAGAAGCACAGTAAGAGAAAAGCAAGTCTTATAAAACACAAGATTTCTTTGTGTTACGACCATTATTGAGCATTAAATGATACCCCCAGAGAACCATTTATACAGAGACTCCAGGAGCCCTTTCTAGAGTGCAATAGCTCATTTACAACCCAATACCACATATGTAAATGTATGTAGATATATGTAAATAGCTGCAGCTGCTTTTTCACATGCATTGCATACGATGCACTTTGCACACTATTTAATTCAAAATTAAATTTTAAAAATTATTCTAAGACTAAAATAAATGTTCCTTTGATGAAAGCATCCAGCAATTTGTTTTCTTCTGCACTGACACAATGGACTCACCAATAATGGTCATATTGGCTTAAACTTCTCACGTTTTAATTATTCGCCAGACTTTTGAGGTCTGACTTAACAACTCCTTTGACTTTTGTGCATGCTGATGTAAAATAAAACAGAAAGCAGAAGCCTGAAGAGCTCCCAATAACAGGATCCTGCTCAGCTGCAAGTATTATTTGAATTCATGTATTAGAACTAGTGGCAGGCTCAGCGTACAGAAACTGGGATGGGATGGTGCTGCAGGAATTCTGAAGCCTGTTAACCACTGCTGCTGTCTTGCCCAGAAACAGATAGGTATGCAGTTTACATTTTTTCTAGCACTACACATCCAAACAGTAATAATTGAATCACAAACCAATATGCTGTTAGAAATGAGCAATTTTCTTTATTAGTATACTAATTACATTATGTATTAAATTCAGTAACTGTATTTATAGAGATATTTCTGTATTTTTAAGGGTCAAAGTTTTTAAAATTAACCCTTTTGCCTTAAATACTGATCTTTTTTGTCCCTGTATTATTCCCATTATTTTGATAATTTTCAACAACTTTTTTTCATCCTTTCACCAACTTCTTACTGCCTTCCACAAAGGTACTCTTGTTTGTGCAATGTCCTTTGTTAGATTTTGATAATCTGCTGATAAGTAAGCAGCAGGTTTGTTGAGATAACTACATGTAGAAGACTTTTTAATTTTTCTCAATAACTATGACAGCAAGCTGCTGAGAGTAGGGAAAATGAAAGCACTGAAAAACACCAGGATCATTAATGCAATCACTATTCACTCAACAGAGCATGGTCCTGATTGAGTAACCAGCTATGTTCTGCCAAGTTCCCCAAGCAATCACCCTTCCATCCCCAAGCCCTACAGGCTCAAGCATCTAGCAGTGAGTTTCAACTGAAATCATAGTGTCCTACATTTGAAGGCCTTATAGCAGACCTGGTAGCATGCATGAACTCACAAGACAAGATTTATGCCCTCTCACATGTACAACATGCACAACTGCATTTCACACCACCACATGCATACAGACACTTTGGTTTGTAAGAGATTTCCAAGAGGAAAGCACTAGGAGCAAGTGATTCCACACCAAGGGGTTCCACTCAGCAGTTGCTCTGGGTAATGGCAAGGTCCAATTTACCTGAGAGGTTGAGGTCTGCAAGGACAACGTTTGTCAGGAAGCCATGCATATCAAAATGTATCCTGCCATTCTTCACACTGTCTGTAATAATAGACTTCACAGAGCCCAGGGCCAGCATGCAGGCTTCATGTATTTTCCACCTGTAAAAGATTTCAAATGCCTTTAGTTTTTTCCACTACCTCAATAAATAAATAAATAAAATTTTTGCCACAAAACCAGAACAATTTCTTGTTCTAAGCTACCAGAATGATTTGCTTGATCCCAAGGCAGAGAATTTTAAAAGGCCCTGAAAGAAACAAACATTTGCAAAACTGCAAACTGGGGGCTTGGAAACTGCCCCAGGACAGGCAGTGTGCTCAAATCACTTCCTAAAGTACCCGTGGGATAACTGGAACTTCTTGTACCACTTCTATTCCTATAACTAAGAAAGAAATGAGCCTTTAAATGAACGCTTACATCTCAAGCTGTGCCCTGATTATTCTACATCCAGAAGCACTGTGATACCCAGGATCTTAAAGGCTTTAAAACGTTTATTTTTGCATTACATTCTGTTAATTATGATGAAATAGGGTTATGGTCAAATGCCACTTCTCCTTGGTTTTATTTCTGAAGCAAATAACCTGCTTTAAAATTTAGCACAATTAGGCAGACAGGGACTCAGTATCTGATTTTGCAGACATTCAGCTGCTGCTCACTGTATGGAGTGGCTACTCTGACACTAATATTCAAAATAAACTCTGAACTAATGCACTGTAAAACCAAGTGATAATAATTATGGAACATGAGCAGGTACACTGGGAGTTGAGCTTTCTCTTCCTATCCCCAAGTACCATTAAAAAAAAACACAAGTCTGAAGTTCTAAAATTGAACACAGCTCTCCACACAGCACCTCTCTCTTCTTTACATCAAGTGAAAAAACAAAGCCTGAAATGGTGAGCTCAGTTAATTGAACACAAAGTGAAAGTACTGCCAAGTTCTCTTCAAATTGCCTCTGACTAATTATTGTTTCCAATGAGGTGTTTTAAGGAATTGTCAGGGTCTGGAGGGAGGGAGCATGGGACAGGGAGCTTGTGCTAGGAACTGCTGAGTTTTCCATGTGGAGATGTCATCATCTGGCTCAAGAACTGCTGGACTTCTTCGAACTGGAGCTCTCAAATTTCATCCTTGTCCATCAGCAGCAACATCATGAAACAAATGGGATTCAATTCTGCTGCACCTGATGCTGCAAAAGAGCCAGGAGCTCGTGTGGGTGTTGCTCCCTGCTGCCCCACCTCCTTACCAGTGCTCAGCACCGTTGTTTTTAGCCTGCTCAGCTTCTTGTAAATGTCTTGTAGCTGCTGCAGCCAAAGCACTTGCACTCTCATTCTGGAAATCAGCAGCCACAGCCTGCACAAAGGAAATGGTAACACTTATTTGTACAGACTTTTCGAAGTTGAGCTTCTCTCCAAATGCCCTCCACAAAGCTAGGCTTATTATTTGTTATTGTTATTTTGGCTGCATCTAAACATGGAACACATTTCATACCAGCAAAAGGTCCTGTGCAGCAATCCTCACTGTATAGGAAAAAGTGTCATCATCTTCATCCTCCACAAACTGCTGTGGATTTGCAGTCCAGACTTTTATCTAGAACAGAAAGGAGACGAAAGGACAGAGTTCTTCTGACAGATCCAGAGCACCAAGGGTCAGAGGCAGCTTTCTGTTCCCAGTCACCTCAGCTTTGCAAAGCTACTTTCAGAATTTCCCTCTGCCATAGGAAATCATCTTCAACTGATTTTTCTTATACTCTGTTGGAGAAACCTTTGACTAGAAGAGACTTTCTCTCTTTGTTCTGAGCTTGTCTTGCTCTTCTGCACCTCATTTGAGATCAGAATTTGACAGAACTGAGGACTGACCTGGAACCAATGCTACTCAGTTTTATTTATAGATGAGGAATGGGAGAAGCAGATGAATCTTTAACAGAGTGTCTGGTTTTATGCATGCCTACGTAAACAAAAATACAATGGCTGACAGGCTGGGGAGCCCAGGAGTCAGGTAGAATTTCAGTGGAAATTATTTCATGCTACTAGCACAATCTTTTCACTATGACAGAAACCTGGTTATCCCTTTCAGCATGATAATCCTCACTTTTGCAGCATAGTACTTCATCAAGGAATCAAGGAAGACAGCTTGAGAGAATAGGGATTGTTCAGCATGGAGAAGAGAAGTCTCCAGGGAGACCTTACTGCAGCCTTTCAGTAATTAAAGGGGGCCTATAAGAAAGATGGAGAATTTTTACCAGGGTTTGTTGTGACAGGACAAAGGGTAACAGTTTTAAACTGAAGGAAGGCAGATTTATATTAGATATATAGAATTTTTTTTTACTGTGAGGGTAAGGAGACACTGGAAGATGTTGCCCAGAGAAGTCTGGATGTCCCATCCCTGAAAGGCTTCAAGCTTTGAGCAAGCTGGTCTAGTGGGAGGTGTCCCTGCCCACGGCACAGAGGTTGGAACTGGATGATCTCTGACATCCCTTCCAACCCAAACCATTCAATGCTTCTGTGATTTGCTGTCCAAATTACACCATTTAGGAACATTTAGATGGTATTGCCCCAAGTCCTGGCCCAGCAAAGTGACAGAACAGCAGATTATAGGAGCTTCCACACACCAAAACTCTTCCTAGGATGTTAGCTGTTTTAAATCTCTCATTTAATTTGCTTCCTAGACAAGACAAACATGCTCACCTGCTCCTCTGTGATCTGCATGTACAGGAGGATGTAATAGATCAGCTCTGGCAAAGCCTTCTTCACTGTGCTCTTAAATTTGTTGTTTTCCAGCAAGGCATGAACAAACTCAAATATGCTGAACACGAGATTTTCAAAGCCCAATACTTCACCTGAACAAAGAAGTGAAAAAAAAGGACATGACTGAATTTGCCAACATACAGAAAGGCATAATGGAACACAGGAACCATGCTAACATGCAGAGAGGTATAAATGGTGTCAGGTGTAATTACAAACTATTAGCTTGTCTGATGAGATGTTTATTCTTATTCCTGGACTAGCAAGGGCAGCAGCAGCCCCAGAAAGATGTCTCACCTCATTGCTTTCTTCTCTCTATCCACCTCACTGCACACCTCTCATTAAAACTGATCAAGCTCAATCTAAAATGTTTGGGTTTCTCTTGTCTCACTGCTTTTACCTCAAAATTGTTGCAGAATTCACTCAAGTCATTAGAAAACTTGAAGTATGCAGCTTTGTTGATCAGAATCACATGTAACTTGCAAAGAAGTGACAGACACTGTTCTCATACCACCAATGAACCTCTAAGCACAACCTCCCAGTTTCAGTCACTCTTTTGACAACAATATTTAGCTAAGTCCATTCCTCTTGAAAAGAGAAGGCAGAAGGCAGTTTAACAAGTTCTTACCATCAGAATCCACAGGGTCCTCCACCTCTTCTGTGTAATTTACTTCTGTTCTCACATAAGTGGATGGAGTCAAGGAAATATGTATTTTTCTGAAAACCTGCATCCATTTAGGAATTAATCTGTTCCTATCTCAGAATTCCTGGTAACAAGGGATGTTTACTTTCTTAAATAAAAAAAAAACACCTCTCCTTTTATGCATGGTCCTGTGTTTCCCAGAGAACACAAGCCCCAGGAGCTCCTGGATTTGTGTATTGCCCAGCTTCAATAAAGAACAACACTCTCCCTTTTTGCAAACAAACTCTATGTTGTGAGCTCAGCTGCCAGCAGGACTGCAGTGGGAGTCAGTACAGGAGAGGGAGAAATACACCACCAAACATTTAACAAACAGCTCCTTGTATTTTAACAGGTGTCTAAGAAAAGAAGAGAAAAAAAAACACACACAAAAAAACCCCCACAGCTGGCCCTGAAACCAGATAGCCTCTACTTGCTCCATCCAGCACTGCAGCTACTTTTATAGTAATTCCTGCTCATTTTCACACCACAAGAGCCTAACACCCAATATGCAGTAGGATTCTGAAACATAAGGCTATGCAAGTAGCTCTGATATAAAAAGGTCCAGATCTATGATCTCTGTGAGAAGAGACATTCTTATTAAATTACAGGGGAACAACTCAACCCAACCCTTACACTATTATCACAACAGTGTCCAGTTCTGGTGTTTGTAGGG